TTGGATGAATTATGCTGTTCAAACTGGGATTGTCATTAACCATCTATGTATGTAACAATGATATTTATGAATTTTACCAATATTTTTGTATGCCAAATAAATCTATTATACTTTTAAGCATGGTTCGATATATATCTCTCCACAAACCCTCTCTACAAACCCCCCCCTTTTTTTGCATATATACTATGAGGGGGAGAGATGAATACAAGGAGCCAATGTGGAGGCGACTCACTATTGTTTTTAATAATATGACTTAGATTACAGAATCTTCACTTACTCAAATTGGCTGAAGCAAAAATTAATACACCCCACAACAAAAACTACTACATCTACTATTCTGTGTGACCTCCATGATTTTAAAGAACAGCACCAAGTCTTATAGGCATGGAATGAACAAGTTAACAACATAGTGCGGTGAAGGGGGTTCTTCACAGTAAGATCAGTTAGGGTCTGGAACTCACTGCCACAGGCGGTGATTTCAGCAAATAATGTGGAATTGTTCAAGAAACTTTTGGACGATTTCTTAAGGGACCGTAATATACAGGGGTACGGGTACTCCTAGAATGAGATCCTAATAGGTTGGACTTGATGGACTAATGTCTTTATTCAACCTCAAATACTATGTAACTATGTAGTGCAACATCTATCTTTTTGCATTCTTCAAGAATGACCTCTTTTGGAGCCTGGATGCAGGATGGAGAGTGATGCTCAACTTGTCTCTTCAGTATTCCCCATAGGTGTTCGATTGGGTTCAGATCAGGAGACATACTTGGCCACTGAATCACAATCACCCTGTTCTTCTTTAGAAATGCAACAGTGGCCTTCAATGTGTGTTTTGGATCATTGTCATGTTGGAAAAGTGCACGACGACCAAGGGCACAGAGTGAAGGTAGCATCTTCTCTTTCAATATAGAGCAGTATATCTGTGAATTCATGATACCATCAATGAAATGCAGCTCCCCGACACCAGCAGCACTCATGCAGCCCCACAGAAGGACACTGCCACCACCATGTTGCACTGTAGGCACCTTTTCATTATTCTTTGTACTCCTCACCTTTGCAACGCCATACAGTTTTGAAGCCATCAGTTGCAAAACCATCGATCTTGGTCTCATCACTCCAGAGTACAGAGTCCCAGTAGTCTTCTTCTTTTTCAGCATGGGCCCTGGCAAATAGGTGAGATTTTTTGTGCATGGGCTTTAGAAGGGGCTTCCTTCGTGGATGGCACCCATGCATGTCATTCCTCTGCAGTGCACACCTGTAGCTTGCAGGTGTGCACTGCTGCGTTGTCTTTTTAGGAATCCTTTGTAAAGTTTTAAATGTTGATTAAGCAAAGAATGTATATATTGTGAAAAACACCCCCATGTAGACTATCGGGTGGTCTGCTTCATAGTTTACTTGCCAACCCAGGTTGTAGTAGCCCTTCAGAGAGTATTCCTAATTTATGCAAAGCATGCTAGAAGTGTATAGCAGTGTGCATAGTTAATTGGAAATCCTAATGTTAACATGTTAACATGTTAGCATGTAAAAATGTGAACATGCTCCTCTAACACCTGTTATGATATGTTATATATATGGGAATGTTATCTAGGAGAGAAGTAGATGGTAACAGAGCTGGTCAGACAGCCACCTAAGAAGACTTTGTTTTCCCCTTTTGTTTTTTTTGTGGAATTCACCCCTGCATGTAAATATTCATGCATAAATATCAGCATGACCAGTTGGCATGGCAGCCCCTAAAATCAATGCCCGGTGAGCAGTTGTCACACATTATCCAGGGGCAAAAGCCTGCAACAGGCAGAACAGATGCCAGGGCAGTGCAGGTCTTTAGACACATGGTCAAGGCAAATGACAGACTAAAGCAGAGTCAGGAGGGTGATGGCTAGGTCAGGCACAAAGTCAAGGTTCCATATAGTTAAACAGAGAGCAATGAATTCCTGAGAACAGTATGCACATGTAACCATCATTGGATTTATTTTAGCAGCTTTAAACTACTTTGATATTGGAAATGCCAGCCTACCACTCTATTCCGAATTTGCATACACAGTCATGGTAAAGTTAGGACTTGTAAGATGGGAGCATTAGTTAAACCTTCATTTATACCAGAAAACTTTCAAAATATGTATTAGAATCTATAATACATTTCTGTTATCACACCTGTTAAACTGAAACCTTGTTCATGCTTCATTCATCTAACTGTTTTTATGGGTGAGTGAGTGATCTGGTACCTGGAGGGCAAAGAACCATATGTAGGTAAATACCAGAAATTATATCATGCTAACCTCTTGGAAATAGAACATTGACTATTGTACATAATGTACACAATTTAAAATAATGAGCGTTATATTTTTCTCTGACAGGATATTAAGGAAAATTGAAGTAGAATAGTTATAGCGAGGAAGAAAAAACAAATCCTGAACGTGGCTGACTTTAATCATATAGTTTATAATGGTGCTTTACTGAGAGGCTTGATATTGACAAAATGCATCAATGTCTTAGCCTTTTTAAGCAAAAGACTTGCAGGAAAATGTTCATATTAGTTTAATAAATGTGACAATCATCAAACACCCAGGATTATTTAGTAATACCATCTCACTGCAAACATTTTATTTTAACATTATCAAGAATATGCATAATCCAGCTTTACTTAGCTCAGATTTAAGGTAAGCCTTTTGGTGACAACTATCTTATTTGTGCCTGTCTCTTTAAGGAACTTATTTATGTTCCTTTCTCCTTACTTCCATTGCATATGTGTTAATCAAGTTAGTGCTTATTAAATATCGATTTCAGCTTTTACTTTTCATGCAATTCAAATTAACCATTTCTCTGTTGTAAATGTATTGAAGCCACATACAGATATGGTAAATCCATACTGTATGCCATATGTAATGCTAGCAGTCTCCTTGAATCTGCCCCTCTCCGTCTACTTAACATGAGCCATTATAAAATGATCAGTTTGATACTTCTGGTATAGAGAGTTGCTGCCCTTATTGAGCTACCTGCTGAACAACATGCAGGATAAATAAACAACATGGTAGGTCCCTTTTGCAGTGAGTAAAAAGTTGTATCCTTAATGTATCATCATTTATATCTTTGATTTATTAAAGCAGAACTCCAGTCACACTGACCTGCAATAAAAATTAATATAAAAACTAGATAAACTATAGGTGATAAAATGTGACTATAGCATTTAGAAAGGGAGAGATTTTCTCTATTATCGATTGAGGGACACACATTGGTGATAAATATGCAACCTCGAGTTTTAATGCCACCTTAAATTAACACTAGGCACATAGAAAACTGAAAAGACAGTCCCCCTTGCGGCTATACCCTCTCCCAGCTCATTCCTGCCCAGTTTTGCTTACTGTCCTCAGGAGAGTATATATGGTTTCTTCAGCTCTGCTGTTTTCTCATCATTTGAAAGATGTTTCAACTATCAATAGCTGCTGGTAGTTTCAGCCTGGATACTGAAATTCTGGAAGTCTCTCCAGTCAGTAAAAGAGCACAAGTTTTCCCAATGTATTGAATATACTGGTGTCTCCTCTGTGATATTCCTGCAGTTAGCAGTGACAATGTGACAATCCATCTGTATTTAGTTAGCTCAGTAAAATGTAAACCCCTAAGGGGAGGATGGTTAGTCCCTAGGATCAGTCCTAATGTATCAACCTAATGAAAATGTTTCTCAAGGCAGCCACTAAAGATGCTATTCCCACTTGGTATGTAGAGCTGAAACACAAGAAAAAAAACACAGGCAGGGGTGCATCTAAGAGCAGCAGTCTGACTCAAAATCCAACCAATTATGTGGATGTTACTAACCTTGTAATATAGCAAGAAAGACACATATGTATGACCACAGCAAAAACTCAGTCTGGCTGCAATCAGAAGGATGGTTGTCAAGTGGCTGTGGGCGACCCATCTAATCATCATCTATTTTGCAAGGTTTAACTTGGCACAGGAAATATTTTTACATTTGCGCTTTTTACAGTTCCTACTCCTAATCACTTGCGCTGGCAGCCAATTCTGACTCTGCTCTGATTATTTCTAGTGGAGGTATTTCCTGTTTAGCCAGGCTTTATGACTCGGCTAGTGCAGCTTGTTGTTCCTCCTGATCACAAAGGTTTAAAAGGTCCATTAAACCCTTCCAAAGCAAAATCTGATACAGAAATGTCTAATATTTCTGATTGTGTCAGGAATCTTCCATAGGATTTATTGTCGAAGCAAAATCCTCCCTTCTCTAGAATTCCCCACTAGCTGAATTTTAGTCAGCAGTTGTGTCTCAATAAACCTTTGACAGTCTCCATAGAAGATAGTATTTACTTTATTGACCCTACTGATAAGAATTTCTCATTCCATCTACTCCCAGGTGGGCTCTACCTGTGCACTCATTTCCTAGACTTTTGCTGACTGGTCTGACTTGAACATAAGCACAAAAATCTGGTTTTGCAACTGTGGGGAAGTGAAATATATGTACGGTTGTAGAAACAAGAAATCCTGACAAATCTTCAGAAACTGGGATTGTCTCAAAAGCTTGATTCACACTGAATGTCTTGCAGCTGTGCTGGCTGGTTTGTTCTTTCCAGTGCTGCCCCAACGCAAGACAAGGCAATCTGTCTTGTCACAGATGTGCACAGTTTACACCACCGCAATGCCGTGCGTTGTGATGATGTGTACTGAAAAAAAAGTACTGCGTGCAGTGAGCCACAAGCTACACTCATGACACGGCTGTGCGTTGTAGCATAAAATCTGAGACTGCTTGCACGACGGGGCATGGGCCAACTAAAAAAAGAGTTAGTTTGCAGAAAGTAATGTGTGTTGTCCACGATCACCTTTCATTCAGTACCTTTTTTTGTTGCTTGCATTAGAATAATTAGGAATCTAATTGACTGTTCTGTACTTTACGTTGTTTAACTGAGGCCCATGGAGGATTGCCAAAATTGAGAAAGTCTTTTGGACATTCTAAAGCTTTAACCTTTTTAATAATAATATATGCTCTTTTTCAAAAGGAACATAATAAATCTGCAGAAGAGGAACCTCTGAAAAAAGCACTGAAGAACTATCCAAACAACAATGAAGAAAGCTCTCAACTTTCAGATGGGCAATACGAAGCCCAAATCTATGACACATCAGGTGATGAAACAGAAGTATCTGAAGATATGGAAGCTGAAGGTACTAAAAACAACTACACTCATCCCAAGTTATGTCAGGGCAAAATAAAACAAAAATAAATAAGAAAAAAAGCATGTACTGCACCTCTGCAATACATGCATATTTCCTTATGTTGTATCCTCTTAAATACCCTGCAGATATTGAAAGATACATGTTAATCTAATAGAAATGTACTCCGCTCCTAATTTCCTCTTGTGGAATGACCGCACATGCCTTTTTGTGGGCTGCAGTTGCAAGGATCAGTGCAAGCCCTCCACAGTGGTCTATTGCCCATTGGTCTATACCTACTAAACCCCTCCCATTATCCCGTAGGGATTCATTGTTCTGTAGTGCAAGATAAGGTGACATTTTGAGATAGCATAGAAATGTTCACCAAGGGGACATTTTGAGACATTGCTTTAAAGCTTTAATGAAAAAAATCAGTAGATCCAAAGATATAGACAGCTGAAGCTTCCTGCAGGTCTCAACTTTAAAGTCGAGGTGGGCTCTGTTTCTTCCACTGCATCGAATGACAAGCTCGTATCTATGGCAGAATATATCCTCTGGCTTGCCAACTTTGGACAATTGATAAGGAGTAAAATGTACAAATGTGAAAACCTTGTACAACTGCTATTGTCCCCCTCCTCCATCCTAAATAAAAGCTGTCATCTGAACCTGTTGCTTTAGTATCACTGATATTTAACATTGTAGCTTTTTTGTTTTTTTTCAGTAGTTTATTCTTACTTTAAATAAAAAATCTATTATTTCATTGCACTTTTTCTAGATCATGATGGAAAACAAACAACTGATGGGAATGAATCTACAGCAACTGACAGTGATGACTGCATCATTCCTGCAGCTAAAGAGGTGAAACCAGTAAGTACAATGCTTCTATTTTACTGCCTGGTTAGTAGTTTCTTGGATCTCAATGTAGTAAAATGCATCTTGCAGGACATAATTATAAATTTTTAGGCACATTGATTAACACCACAGTGATTGCCTCTCTCCATATGGACTAGTCAATACCTGCTCCCTCACAAAACTAATGTGCGTCTATGTGTATATAGCGCTTGAAAATATCTCTCTCGCTTTCTCTCTTGTTTCTTTTTCACAATTCATATTTAGACCCACATTTAGATGACAATTCATGTCTGTATACATACTGTATATCTACTTTTGGTAACTTCTTTGTCAAATTATTAGTAGTATTATATACTAGTGCATACTACCGTATTTTTCGCTCCATGAGACGCACTTTTTTCCCCCCAAAAGGAGGGGGGAAATGTGCCTGCGTCTTATGGAGCGAATCCCGACGCCCGAGACATGCAGTTTCGGGCGCCGGGCGAGTAGTAGGAGCCACTGCTCGTTTAAAGCCGAGCAGCGGCGGCGGCGATCGTATTCAGCAATAGGAGCCACTGCTCGTTTAATACGAGTGATCTAATGAGATCACTCGTATTAAAACCGAGCAGCGGCGACGATCGAGATCACCATAGAGCAGACGAAGAACGGACTTTCTTTGTCTGCTCTGTGTGATCACTGAGACCGTGGCGCTGTAATCATTACATCATGATTACAGCGCCACCTGTCTCAGCGGTCACTAACTGCAGCTTCTGTCACAGCTTCTGTCATAGAAGCTGTGTCAGAAGCTACAGTCTGTCGAGTGCTCCATAAGGCGCGCCGGACCTCCCTGCGTCCTATGGTCCGGTGCGTCTTATGGACCGCAAAATACGGTATATACTGTATATTGGAGTGTTACTTTGCAAGACTCCTGATAAAAGCACAAGGCCGTGCCCCACTTTTAGACTCCATTCTAAATATATTCAATAGATTGTTTTTGCTGTACACGATGTTCAACAAATTCTTTCTTAGTTGCATCCAACATACTTCTGCATACTTACCACTACTGCAGAGTTGTCATGCCGATTACAGGAGGGCCTTCTAATGTTATAATTAGCATAGTTAACTAAACGAAGAGGATGTTGATGGGCATGGACACAGCTCCTTGAATGCTCAAAGAAATGGTGCAAGTGTCACAAAATCCCTTGTAATTCAGAGATCAAGGGGGCATGTTGTGATCTTGCTTGCTGTGCAAGATAGATCTACATCCAATTGTGCTCTTTAGGTTGCAGCTTGGGGGAGGAGGGATCAAGGAACCAATATTGATCTAAAAACGTAGGACAATAGTGCTGCAAACAGGCAACATTTTTTTCTTACATCTAACTCATCACTTTACAGTAATCTTAGGGAATAACCTCTGCAACCTTTATTTTTTGTTGAGCCCAGAGTTCAGCTTAGTATTAGAAAAGTAATCAGTTTTATGTAGCAATTGAGGGAAGTGGATTGTTTTTTTCCTAATAGCAACAGCTAAAAATTAATAAAACTCAAAACATCTTCAGGGTATTTATCTCAGTGTTTTTAATTCATGTTAAACTTCATAATTTGCAATACCTAAAAGAATGCATAAAATAATTCACACTCTGCCTTTCTTTCCCATGAAAACGCTGCCAAAACAAAATTGTATATATATTTATTATTATACAGGATTTATATAGCACCAACAGTTTGTGCAGCACTTTACAATATAAAGGAAGACATTACAATCACAATACAATTCAAGACAAGATGGTAGGGAGGGCTTACAATCTAAAAGGGTAGGGCAAGTGATACATGAGGAGGTAGCAGTGTGGGGATGAATAGTTTTATGTATATTGTGATATTTGGGGGACTTGGCACAATGGTAAGCATGCAGGGATCAGTCTCAAAGCCGTTATTGCTTAAACAGGCAATCCAGCAAATAATGGCTTATCTTCAGCATATAATAAAATCAAGTTTGCTTATCTTCAGCATAGAGTCTCACTGACTTAAATCTTGCTCGCAGGCACACCAGAGTCCCAGAGCTTTTTTTCTAGCAACTTC